TGGTTTCCTTGCAGACCACCAAGATCGGAGAGCGCCAAGGAGGCCGCTGCTCATCCCTGAGCTACAGAGATTCTCTTCTACTGGCATTTTGAAAGGGCATCGGACGCTTTCCTTTATTGTATTTTATATACGCAGGGCAATGCCGCAAGGGGGGCCAGGCTGAGGCATAAGTGACAGATCCAAACTCAGCTCATCTGCTTTGTGGCTAAGGGAGCCCTGAACCGAGTCCTTCTGAATCCAGAAGTAGATTAACATTTTTTAAAGTAATTTTTTGATTGCTTTTTAATGAATAACAAAAAGCAAAGACCAAACACAAAATAATAATACACAATCAAGGGGAAAAAAACATTAAAAAGGGTTATTACGAAAAAGTGACAAAAATACAAGAAGGAAAATAAAAAATGTAGTAGTGTATTATCATTATATCAGTAGTTACAAATCTATATTTATCTAATGCAAATATTCAGATGCATATATATTTACCGAAGTAGACTGACATTTTAACCTCTGTAGGTGGTTATGTGCAGCTGGTCTAAACCTCAGCTATATAGCTCTTTTTGTCAGTCACTAAAACCAAATTAATCTTTTTTTAGATTGTTCCATTCCAACGTTCAAAGACGCCAACCTTCAGAATTTTTCCAATGGTCTACAATTACAATACACTTTCAATAAATGCATTTATGAAATTCTCTCCCCTCCCACAACAGTGTTTACAAATGTGGGGGATGATTCATAATAACATGACTAAAACCGCTGTTCACTGAAAACAGGAAATGAACAGAAACGACTAAAACCTCCCTCCATTAAATGCTCTTGCACTGTCCCTAAAGCCAAGGTGAAGATTTTTGGGAAACAGCCTCTTCTGTCTTCCCAGCAGTTTGTTTTTAATTGATTGATTGATTGATTGATTGATTGTCACTCTGAAAGGAAATTAGGTGAGATTATTAAAATATCAAAATCAAATCCGATTAACTGTGTGCATCATCGCATTTAAAATGCGCTGTTTATTTCTGGCATTCATAAAACCTGCTCCCCTAAGTTTATGGAGTTAATCTTTTCAAATGGAATTCTTCCTTTTTCTCTAAGTTTGTTGAAGTCAGCTCCCTTGAAACACAGAGCAATAATCTGACTACGTTTGGTTCTGCTTTCTTTATCCCTTTCTTAGAAAAAGGGTTAAGGAGTTAAAATTAGGAACATTGCAGTTCCACCATGTTCCTTCTTCCCCAATTAGGGTTGGCTGATGGTGCTCAGAGGCCTGCCCACGACTTTCACAAGGGCCTGAATGTTCTCTTTGTGGTTGTGGATGACTTGCGCCCAGCCCTGGGTTCTTATGGGGACTCCCTTGTGAGATCACCGAACATTGATCAGCTGGCCTCCAAAAGTGTGGTGTTCCAGAATGCTTTTGCCCAGGTAATTGACATCTTCTTAACCAGGGTTCCTCAACCTCAGCAACTTTAAGATGGGTGGACTTCAACAATTCCAGCATGGGAATTCTGGGAGTTGAAGTCCACCCATCTTAAAGTTGCTGAGGATGAGGAACCTTGTTCTTAACTATTGATTTTTGGGGGGGGTGGGGGGTGGATGGTATCTTTGGTTCTCCTTGCTGTCTGGAGGAACATCACAAATCCAGTTTTCCTCCCTCTAGCTCAAGGTTTCTCAACCTTGGTGACTTTAAGATAGGTGGACTTCCCAGAATTCCCCAGCCAGCTTGCTGGGAGTTGAAGTCCACCTATCTTAAAGTCGCCAAGGTTGAGAAACCCTGAACTAGCTGTCTGAAAAAAGGTAAACATGATCAGAAGAAGATTGAGAGTGGTTGGTGACTATTACTGACAGAGTTCTTTCCCCAGGAGGACCCTCTTGGTGCCTCCTTTTTAATTTTTTTTCAAGGTGGAGCAAATAAGTTGTTGTTTTTTTTCCAGCTTTTAAGCACTGGCTGTAATTCTGGTTGTCTATATTTATCTGCTCTTTTATGTTTTTAAACATTATTCTGTTGTTATAATTGTTGCTGGGGGTTTCTTTAATAAGACCCTGTGTGAATAGTTATGTCACAGGGTTGGTGTGCTCTTGGCCTCCAGCTAGCTTGGCCTTTGTTTCCGATCACTTCAGTTCCCCTCTACTTACTGGAGAAGAATTATGGGAGTTGTAGTCTGGAGCAACTTCCTTGACTTTCTTCTTGCACACACATATTCAAAGAACTCTTTTTTGTTGTTATTATTTTTGGCATTCTTTGGAAGCCTGAGCTCATAGTGAGCCTTCCTGACCCCATCTTTACAGATTTGGACTACTTTTTAATATTCTGTTTTTATTATATGCCCTTATTTCCATTTTTTAGACTTGTCCTTCTTGTTTCTCAGCGGATCAGAAGGCTATTTATGCAACCACGTCAATTTCATCAGGTGTCTCCCAATTTTCTTTCTCTTCAGTATGGTTTGCGTTTGGGCCTTCATTATCTCCTTTCTCAGAATTCCCCAACCTTGTTGAACCAGGATTTCCTTCCATGGACATTCCATCCTTCTTCCTTTTTCTCTAAGTTTATTGCCGTCAGCCCCCTTGAAATACAGAACAATAATCTGACTACCTTTGGTTCTCCTGCCTACAGTTGGGTGAATTCTAGGACAACATGGTCACATTCTCCCAAGGTCCCTACAACTTCCATTTCCTCAACCATTTCTTCCCTCTTCATAAGTCCAAGTCTCCTAGTTTCATCCTCCATCTTTTGGATGAAGAATCTGGGATTTCTGCCATGCAAAGTACGTGCCTTATTGCTAAACCCTAGTCTCCTTTCTCTGTGTGTGTGTCTTTTTTCCCCCCAGCAAGCTGTCTGTGCCCCAAGCAGAGTGTCCTTTCTCACAGGGCGCAGACCTGATTCCACAAGGCTGTATGACTTTAATTCGTACTGGCGAATGCACGCAGGAAATTATACCACGTTGCCCCAGTACTTCAAGGAGAATGGATATATCACCATGTCTGTGGGGAAGATCTTTCACCCAGGTGAGCTTCTAATCCAGTGTTTTTCAACCTTGGGAACTTTAAGCATGCTGGCTGGGGAATTCTGGGAGTTGAAGTCCATGCATCTTAAAGTTATCAAGGTTGAGAAACACTGTTCTGATGGCTTTCCAAGATCTGGTGGGGCCATGTGAAAGTGTTCAATATCCAAATCCAAGGATGAATCTAACACATCCCCATTTCTGTTGTTTTTTTTTCCCAGGCATCCCCTCAAACCACAGTGATGATTATCCATACAGTTGGTCTATCCCGGCTTTTCATCCCTCTTCTGAAAAATATGAAAACACACAGGTGAATGGGCGCTATGGCTGTTGACCATCAATGATCACTGACAATACAGAATATTCCAGATATTCCTCATTAGAGTTCGGGAGCAGAACTGAGGTGTATGTGGCTGATTCTGAAAAGCTAAGCAGGATTGGATGTGGTTAGTTCTTGGATGGGAGCCCCAAGGAAATCCCAGGGTTATTGGGTGGCCTGAGAAGAATAAAAAATCTGAACAGAGGGCTGTTGCTTTCTTGCAAAAACAAACCAACAAACCCACAACGAAACTCTGCATAAGGGTGTCCATGAGGTCACCAGCAGCCAATATCTACCCAATGTAGATTTTCCCTTTTAGACATTTTAGCTAAGTTGTAATTTTTTCATTTATTTTATTAATCTATCCATTCATTTCTATACTATCTGTCCCAAAGATTTTGGCAGTGTATGATAGAATCTTAATACAAATTATCAAAGGGAGTCACTCCTTTCTCTTGACAAGTTGCTGGGCCAATCTTGAGTGTTGACCCTTCCTCAACTGATTTGAGGAAGTGATGAGAATTACCTCACTACCAGAGTAAGGAGCAGTAGACAGTGGGAGGAAGAGCTCTGTCCTGTCTCCTACAGCCTTTCTATAGGCTTGAGTTTGCTCTGGTCTCATTCCAACCACCAGATATGTTTATGATGGTTGCTGATTGCCTTTAAGGTTTGTAAAGGGAAAGATGGAAAACTTCATGCCAACTTGATCTGTCCTGTGGATGTTGCCAAGATGCCTGAGGCTACTTTGCCAGATATCCAAAGCACAGAGGAAGCCATCCGTTTGTTGAAGACCGTGAAAAGAATCAAGAAGAAGTTCTTTCTGGCTGTTGGTTATCATAAACCTCACATCCCATTCAGGTACCCTCAGGTAAGAATGTTTCCCTGCAGAGGAGATAAAGCTGACATTAAGATCTCTCTTAGAAAGGTCTTCAAAAGGAAGAAGAGGTTGGCATTGAAGAAGTCAAAAGGGACTTGGCTGGTTGATCATCTAAACTACACATGGACCATGGTGTATCATAGAGACTTTCCTGTATCCTTGTGGATGTCCATATTTCTCCCCAGTATTGAATTCTTCTCAGCATTCATCAACAATTGGGAAAAATACAAATTGGGTGAGGTTTCATGAGGGGAACATAGCTTTGATTGGCTGAGTTGCCTAAGAGGGAGGATTAGTTAAAGGGTAGGGTTAGATGTAGGAAAATATTTTTGCTAGGAAAATATTTATTTATTTATAAAAGTAACTGAGCCCAACATAACTGGTGAATGCTTGTTAGGTAGCAAATTTTGATAATCTCTTCTTCTCTCAAGAAATTTCTCAAATTATATCCATTGGAAAACATCACCTTGGCCCCCGATCCAGCAGTTCCTAAAGAACTCCCTTCAGTTGCCTACAATCCCTGGATGGACCTGCGGAGGAGAGAGGATGTTGCAGCCCTGAACCTCAGTTTCCCATATGGGCCAGTTCCAGAACACTTCCAGGTAGAGGTGGTGAAGGGGATTTGGTCACATTTCCATTAGATGAAAATTAATGGTCTGGTTGTGCTCTGAAAGACATGGGTTGGATGAGGGGTTGGATGGTCAGTCTACTGTTTTTCTATTTGTGCTGGAACTGCACAGTCTTTGGAATTCTGGCCATGGAAGTCCAACCCATCTGGAGTGCCCTGACTGGGAAGAGCTGATGTACCACATCATTGTTGGAATGCAGGTTTTGACCTGAAACGTTTTAGTAAGAAATCAGTTGTTTCAAGAAGAGAATCAGAGGAGAAGGGTCACCTTAGTAGGGTGGCAGTGAGACTGTCAGGCACCAACTGGTACCTGTTTGAGCTGTGTCATTGTGAAGGACATGGAAAGGAGGAACCATGAAGAGAGGTGAAACAGCATCTCAGTCATGGGAAAGTGGAAAGCATGGGAAAGGAACTCCAAATAACCCCACCTTCATTCTGTTTGGTCTAAGATGGGGGAGACCAAAACTCGGAGAGAATTTCAAGTTTCTATTAATATACCCTACAACAAGGAAGTAGTATTCCTCTGTTTCCTGACCTGGCCTACTTCAAAGGGACAACAGTTACCTATCAAGTCCCCTCATGTTAATTGGGCAAACAGGCACATTGCAAACAAATCTGCTTTCTGAAAGGTCTTCCACCTTTCCAGGGACTGCTTCCATTGACAGTGTAGTGGCTAGAACTCACGTGTCCCCTTTGCAAACTATTTTGTAGCGGAAGATTCGCCAGAGCTATTTTGCCTCCATCTCCTACGTTGATACGCTGGTTGGAAAGTTGCTGAATGCCCTGGATGAGGCAGGACTCTCTCACAACACGCTGGTTGTTTTCACTGCGGATCATGGTAAGACTTTCCCCAAGCTGGTGCTCTCTGCTGGGTTGGTCTACAGAGCTCACTCGCTTATTTATTTATTTATTTATTTATTTATTTATTTCATTTATTTATTTCATTTATATAGCCACCCATCTTATATTGAACTCTGGGTGGTTGCCAACCAGCAGTTAAAACAACATCAATATACTATTAATACTTACATATATCTATTAAAACCACAAACATTAAAACCCGGCACCAAAGTTAAGCTTTTCCACGCAGTCCATCCCTAAGTCCTCTCGTCCACCTCACCCTATCCCAGTGCTTGGGGGAACTGGCAGGCCTTAAGTGCTTTTCGGAAGGCCAGGAGGGTGGGGGCCTGCCAAAGTTCAAGGGGGAGGGTGTTCCATAGGACAGGGGCTGCCACAGAAAAGGCACGCTTCCTAGATCTCACAAGACGGCAATGTTTAAGGAAAGGGACTAGGAGCGTGTCTGATCTGGGATGTCCTTAGGGAGTGGTGCTCCTGCAGATAACCTGGCCATGTAGGGCTTTAAAGGTAATAACCAGCACCTTGAATTGCACCTAGAAGGAAACTGGGAGCCAGTGCAACTTGTGCAACAGAGGTGTTATGTGGGTAAACCTAGGAACACCCATCACTGTGTGCGCCACCACATTCTGGACTTCTTGTAGCTTCCAGGTGGTCTTCAAGGGCAGCCCCCTGTAGACTGTGTTGCAGTAATCCAAACTCTCATAATCTCCAGCTGGCACAGACAAAGAGGGGAAGTCCAAGATAGGGAAAGAGATAGCCCTGCCAAGGGCTGCAAACCCATTTTAGTCAGATCTGCTTTGCTGCTTCACTGCTTCGTTGAGACTTGTTCATGCGCAAGACAGAGACAACGTCCTTCTTCCTTGCATTCACTCTACAAATATCATTTCAAGTCTTTGTCGGGGCAGCCAGTGTGATGGCTGTAGCATCAGATGCACCATGTTTGCACGTCCTTGGTCTTTCTGCATCTCCTGCTTTGTGGTAAGACTGAATGAAGAGTCCTGGAGAGTTTAAAAGCTTGTGTGTTCTTTGATATCATTGTGGTCAATCCTAATAAAGGCATTACGCCCAACTCTTGATTCTGCTTTTTTTTTTTTCTGGATGGATCAACAGCAC